TGGGGTTACAAACAGAAGGGAGTAAGATGGGGGGTGCAAGAGGTCCGGTCGGACTCTGGACCGAAGGGCCGAGAGTGATGGAAGCTTCTACGTGCGCTAAGTATTAGAACGTGTGTTTTGTGTAGCTTTAGAGTGTCTAAAGCTAGCAGAGGATGAATCGATCGTTGGTTGTTCGAATTGTTCGAGAGTCGTCCTGATTGGGAGAGAGCGCATCCCCTTTTATAGATGAAGGGGACGGCCTTACAAGTGAGAGAGGGAGAGTTTACGTATGCTACTAAGTCTTGTTGCCCACGTCATCGGGTACAATGATGATTGTAGGCGCCCACAACACTGTTTTTATGTCAGACGCATGTGGAAGGTTTTATCGTATTCACCATATATGGCAAATGACGGCGCCCACAACACTGTTGATATCCAGAGGCATGTGGGGAGTTTTACCGTGTTCACCTGGTATGGGAGTTGAGGGCGCCCACAACACTGTAGGGCAAACGTCAGCGCCCACAGCACTGTTGGGCTCTAACATGCTTGGAAGGTGGCAGGGCACCCTTCTGACATGCCCTGTCGGTACTGTGCTACAGGTGTATAGGATACAGTCCTTGGTATGGCGGTTGACTTGAGCGCCCTGCCTTACTTGCTTTGCTCGTTTGTTGGGTCCTCACCGAGCAGGCGTCCCCGATCGGTTGGTCCCAGTCGGCTCCGACTGCGCCAGTCGGAGAAGAGCTGTAAGCAGAGGTTCGGTGCATCCCCGGTCGGAGACGCGGGTCGGAGTCGGAAGCGGTGCTGGTGAAAGGTCCTAATATAGGGGGGTGAATAGCGGTGCCGGTCGTAGTCGGAGTCAGAAGCGGTGCCGATCGGAGTCGACAACCAATTTTTCTCGTGAGGTTCACGTGCTTGCCGGCACGCTAGTCCCTGTTGTGTCGACCAACACTTTATGGTTCAGCAGCTAAGAGGTGTTGCACGAACCTCGTCCACATAATTGGACACCGCAAGAACCTACCCACAGGTGAGGTAACTCAATGACACGAGCAATACACTAGAGTTACCTTTCGGCGCTCCGCTGGGGAAGGCACAAGACCCCTCACAATCACCACGATCGGAGCCGGAGACAATCACCAACCTCCGCTCGACGATCCTCGCTGCTTCAAGCCGTCTAGGTGGCGGCAACCACCAAGAGAAACAAGTGAATCCCGCAGCGAAACACGAATACCAAGTGCCTCTAGATGCAATCACTCAAGGAATGCACTTGGATACTATCTCAATCTCACAATGATGATGGATCAATGATGGAGATGAGTGGGAGGGCTTTGGCTAAGCTTACAAGGTTGCTATGTCAATGCAAATGGCCAAGAGAGTGAGCTTGAGTCGGCCATGGGGCTTAAATAGAAGCCCCCAAGAAAAAGAGCCGTTGGCTCCTCGGTCCACTGAAAAACGGGGCGACCGGACGCTGGACCCCAGCGTTCGGTCGCGCGATGCGTGCCACGTGGCCCCTACTTCAAACGTTGATCGCCCGATCTCAACGGTTATCAGTATATTTAAGTTGTGATTGGACGCGCTGCTTTGAAGTGATCGAACACAGGACCCCAGCGTCCGGTCGTTTCCAGTAAGCATCCAGAAGTGAAAAATCACAACCGAACGTGTCCGGTCATGCCTGACCGGACTCACCCAGCGTTCGGTCACTCAGCGTCTCCTCTGTGCGCTGCCACATCAGCAGGACCGGACACACCCCATCAGCGTCCGGTCACTAAGTGACCCAGCGTCCGGTCGAAGACTAACGCCAGCGTCTTTCAAGCTTCCACTGACCGGACGCACCGGTTCTACCGAGACCAGCGTCCGGTCACTTACAGTGACCTCCGTCTTCTCTGTATAGAGCGCCGGAGGCACTGTCGGACTGTCCGCACTCTACGGGCGGACACTCCGCCGGTGAAGTTTCTAACCCTTACTCAAATGTACTAACCGCCAAGAGTATCACCTTGTGCACATGTGTTAGCATATTTTCACAAATATTTTCAAGGGTGTTAGCACTCCACTAGATCATAAATGCATATGCAATGAGTTAGAGTATCTAGTGGCACTTTGATAACCGCATTTCAATACGAGTTTCATCCCTCTTAATAGTACGGCTATCGATTCTAAATGTGATCACACTCACTAAGTGTCTCGATCACTAAAACAAAATGGCTCCTCCTATTTATACCTTTGTCTTGAGCCTTTTGTTTTTCTCTTTCTTCTTTTCCAAGTTCAAGCATTTGATCATCACCATGCCATCACCATCATCATGATCTTCACCATTGCTTCATCACTTGGAGTAGTGCTACCTATCTCATAATCACTTTGATAAACTAGGTTAGCACTTAGGGTCTCATCAATTAACCAAAACCAAACTAGAGCTTTCAGCTGGCCAGGCCTTCCGGTCGGAGAGGCAGGTCGGAGTCGAAAACGGTGCTGGCCAGGCCTTTCGGTCGGAGAGGCGGGTCAGAGTCGGACCTTCCGGTCGGAGAGGCGGGCCGGAGTTGGAAGCGAGCGCCGTTCCTCCTGGGCCAGGCCTTCCGGTCGGAGAGGCGGGCCGGAGTCGGAAGCGAGCGTCGTCCTTTCCTTGGCCAGGCCTTCCAGTCGGAGATTGGATCGCCCTTCTGGACCGGCCCAGGAGTTGCGCGTCGTTCGCAACGTCGTCTACTGGGCCGAGCTTTTGCTGGCAAGTAAGGCTGGATAACGAGCTGGCTCGGCTCGGCTCGTTCTGGCTCGTTAAGATAACAAGCTAGCTCGGCTCGGCTCGTTATCCTAACGAGCCAGAAAGCCAGCTCGGCTCGGCTCGTTAAAAGGTCGAGCTGGCTCGTTAAGCTCGCGAGCCAGATATAAAAAATACACAAAATATAATATTTGTATTTATCTAAAGTTTGAGAATAATAATAATATAAAAATGCATCTAGATCAGTTACCAGTCAATTTATAGGGTCTAGACCAGTTACTAGTCAATTGTAAAGTGAAAGGCCCCGTTCGCTGGTTTGAAACTTGGCTGAAACTGGCTGGTTGTGTGAGAGAGAAACATTGTTCGGCTGGTTTGGTGAACAGTAAAATGTGAGGGGGAGCAGCCGGCTGGTCTGGAACTTCCAGACCAGCGAACGGCCTGAAAGACATGAAGTAATACAAAAACTAACATAAGTTTTGATATTTTTTTCCTGAAAGCTTGGCTCGTTTAGTTCGCGAGCGGCCCGCGAGCTGGCTCGAGTTGGCTCATTATAGCTAACGAGCTAAAATCTTGACTCGGCTCGGCTCGTTATCATAACGAGCCGAGCCAGCCACGAGCCGAGCGAGCTAACGAGATTCGAGTTTTTCGTCCAGCCTTAGTGGGAAGCAGGTCCACGAGGGACCCCGGGTTTATGAACCCAACAATATGTGTGAAAACATATGCAACATCCATATCAAAAGGTTTGCAACATACATTTGGAAACAGATGAAACAGTTTGAACAAACGCTTGCAACATGTCTCTGAAACACTTGCAACATGTGCAACATGCCCTGATCTACTTTTGCAACGTCCATATGAAAGAATTGCAATATGCCTCTGAAATAATTGAAACATATATTTGCAACATAGGAGGAGAGAGGCATGGGCCGGCCGATTTCAGCCGACGGGGTAGGAGCCGGCGGCGAGCGGCTGCGCGTGAGCACCACCCAGCACCAGCGCCAGTGGCGCACGCGAGCACCACCACCACCAGCGCCATCGGCACCGGGCTTGGCTCGACAGCGACGGTGGGGCATGAGGGGCGGGGAGCGCCATGGCCGCCGAGGTGAGGGGAGCTCAGTCGCTGGGGTGGGGCGCCGCGCCGGGTTGGGGAGAGCCGTCCACTCCCCTGCAACACCACCATGCCATGTTCATGAATCTCGCCTGATCTCGCTCGTGCTCCATGGATCTCACCGGGGTGGGGGAGAGGGCCGCCGGATCTGCGGGCATTAGGGGCTCCCGATGAGGACGCAAGGTGTTGGTGCGCTGCGGCAGGGGACGAGAAGCGCGGAAGGGGTAAGGATGGGGAGGAGGAAGCGAAGGGATAAGTTGTTTTCAATATACATGCGGGCAGGAGCAAGCGACGAGGTGAAAATGTTGTTCGACATTTGTGCAATCCATCAGACGCACCACACATAGCATTTCCATTTTTTTTACCAAAAAAGCAATGTTGAGTGTGTTTTTCGAACTGTTAAAGATGCTCTTAGGTGCACGTGTCAGTCTGCATCTACACTGTTTTGTGAAAAAAAAATATACGTATTTACCTCAATCCAAGTGTATTGGAGTGCATCAAGGTAAAACATACTTAAATTTCTAACTCATCTACTCTAATACAAATGCATCCAAGCCTAACAGAATTAGCTCTCTAAAAAATAGCCAATGCAAAAAAAAAATCCTCTAAAAGAATAGCCAACGCATGAAAATCAGCTAACGCAAAGGAGTTTGAAATTTCACACAGATGGCGCCGCGAGGATATTGCTACTGCCACGTGCCACCCGAAGAAATTGGCCACATATACAAGGGCATCACAATTTCGCTCCTAAAATTGGCCACATATACAAGAGCATCACAATTTCACGCAAAAAATTATGCACGAGTGTTGCTCCAAGGATGCACAATAAGTTGGTTCCGCATAGATAATCCAAGAAAAGAATGCAACCATCGACCTCCACAAGTCGAGAACCCAGTTCAACGTCAGATCAGATCAGCTGCAAGCAAAGCGGCACTTCAACAGAGTCAAAGACTACACAGAGGATAGGAATGTTACAACAGTTGGATATCACAGACAGAGATGAGATGCTTCTTTCTTGCATAAGGTGAAGTACAAAGTACAAACCATGGTACAGAGTCCAGCAAACAATCAAACCATGTGAGTCACCTACATCTACTTAATATACAGATACTTGTGCTCGGAGTCTAGTTTGCCGCACTCGTGGTAGCCTGTATGAAAATGTTACTAGCGACCAGTAGAAAGGTTACACAAAGGGATCGTAGCAGCTCAGCTTCTGCTTGGTCCGGTTCTGTCCCCAAGGATCATCTGCGGGTCGAGGGTTGACAGAATTTGGGGCATTGACATACCACCAGATACAACAATTTCTGCAAACCATGCGTGCAAATATATCAAGTCTTTTTTTGCTGGAGTAGCCATCCATGTTTCTTGAAGCAGAATATCAAACTGTGCTGAAATGGCAGAGAGTAAGAATTTACCGATGCCTTCACGCACAGAAAGATTTGGTCTTATGACATCCTTTGAATTCACCATGAAGATATCACCAATGTAAAGATGGTTCGTAGGGACATAGACGCAGTAAAGATCTTCTTGACCAGAATAACTCTGCAACATAATAACAGGATTGATGCACAGAGACAAAACCATGTGCTAACATCAGAAATGACATTACTACAGCCAAAAAGCCCATGTCATCAATGTATTTCTTCTCGTGCAGCAACTGAAACAATGAGATCATCTCACTTTACCCACATCCACATGTCACAATAGTTAAGTTTCAACCATACAAGGAATAAAACTTGCTTGAATTACTCGCATAACAGTGGAAGTATAAAACAAACAGCATTAGCATGAAAAGCTAAAGTAGCCTTGTTTGGAGCAAACCTGGAGGGATACTGACGATGTGATGAAACCAAACGCATATTCTCCAACACGAGGATGCCTTATGATGACCACTTCCTTGAATGCCTGTTTGTTCTGATCTGTAAAAAGCAACCAGAGTTTATTCAGTGCCTCAGCAAATTAGATTGACCAGTTTGATGACTGACATTACCTGGTGATATTGCAGCACTAATTTGCTTCGATGCATTGTAGATATGACGAACAAGAGGCATGTGCTTAATAATCCACTCGCCAAGGCTAAGGACAGATGCCCCCACCCAAGATGACATAAAGACTCCAATAAAAAATATGAAAGTAACAGATGTGATGAAGCCAAGACCTGCGGAATCATCAGAGTGCAAACTGAAAACTTAAGCTGGATAAAAAATAAAATGTTCTTCTCACTGATGACAAGCTACCATATAACAATAATTTTGCCTAAATGGCTTGCAGGTTAACTTTCCCAGATTTCAGAAAGAACTGGTAATCTAATCCCATGGTGTATACTGAACTAAATGAAGAATGAAAGTGGTCCCTTTTTTCTGAATGAAAGGAAAGGGCGTACCCAGTGCAGAGAGCTCCCGCTCTGTGCGGGGTCTGGGGAAGGGTGTCAGTGGCAAGCCTTACCCTCGCCTGTGCAACGCGAGGAGACCGCGACTCGAACCCGGGACCTTCCGGTCACAGGCAGTAAGACTCTACCGCTTGCACCAGGCCCGCCCTTCTTCTGAATGAAAGGAAAGCGTAACAATATTATATAATACTCTCTGTTCCAAGTTATAGTTTGCTTTACTTTTGCCCTAAGCCAAACTTTTCTATTTTGACCAAGTTTGTAGCAAAACTATAGTAACATCTAAGAGTTCAATATATGCATCATCAAAACATATTTCATGGAGAATTCGATGATGTAGATGTTGGTATTTTTTTTCTATGAACTTGTCAAAGTTGAAGAAGTTTGACTTAGGACAAAGCTAAAGTGAACTGTAACTTTGAACAAAGGGAGTATCAATTTTTCTAGATTCTGATATTTCAATACAAAAAAGAAGTTAGTTCACATACCGAATATGTTGATTCCCAGTTGAGCATAGATTGGAGAGAAGAATCCATCAACAAAATGAATGAACCACCAGGTGATGTAGAACGTTATTGCTATGGGGAAGAGAATTACACTGGAGAATACCGGCAAATAAAATGATAACAGAAAAAAAAAACATCTTAGTATATGTGGCAGGCACATGGAAAGAAAAATTCATGTAGCATCATTGCAAATTGCATAGAAATGATGCATGCAAAGTCACAGCCATTGATTATCATGGTTCATATACATCCCAGAGTGACACTTCAGGATTCAGGAGAAACAACAGTGTTTTTTTAATGCCTAAACTAGAGGCTGGACATATGGGTGTGAAATTAACTGAACAAAAGGGACTAAGGAAATTCCTTGTGATTAGAACTTTATGGTAATCCTACTGTTGGAACATTGTGGAGTATTTCTTCTAAAATCCAAATTCGTGTTCCATATGGTTGTATTTTGAATGTTTGAGTTATCACAAAGGGGTTATCAGTCAAGTGGCAACATGTAAATCCTCCATTCCAACCGTAAGTCCATGAACCTTCTGATATTTCTCAGGATTTATACAAGGTTATCTTATTATTGTTACTATTATTGAAAGGAACAACACCAAGAACCAAATAAACAAGCATCCCACTGTTCCTAGTAACTACTAGTTAGATAACCATATTGATAACATTGCATCACCTGCCTAAATGACTTCCTGATGTGTAAAGGGGAATGGATGTTAGCACAGCAACAATATAGCACTGCACCAAGAAATTTGACTTTTTTAAGTGGCTACTGGCTACTAAGCCATGGACCATGGTACATATCCCCAACAACCAGGCTATACATGACAAAACCATGGAAAATGAACCTAGAATTAGCTACTAGGAATTCCCATATTACAGTTCCATAGCTAAATGCTAGACAGTAATCAAGAGGCGAGGGCGAGGAAAGATTAATTTCGCAAGACTCTTTACCATCCAGTCATGAACTTCTTTGAAGCCCAACTGCGGACGACCTTATGGAAAGCCTGCATTTAAAGAAGAAAAAAAGGGGGTGAATTTTTTTTTAACATGAGCTGTTCTAGCTTGAACCCGGAACATGCTTTCTCAGTTTCAGCAAGGCAAGTATCAGATAGGAATGCAAGAGTAGGAGCAAAAAAAAAAAAAAAAGTATTTCAGTTGCTGTCAAGTAATTGTCATTCCGAATTGCAGCTCAGCGTGCAAAAGCTCTAGGCAGTTTAGAGATTCCACTAACCAAATAAATGTTTTGAATATCATTTTGTTCAACTGGTACTATAGGGGTGTGCCATCGTAGAAAAACAAGTGGGTCACAGTCTTCTCAGCTTTCTATTTTTAAGCAGATCGAAGCTATGCACAATCCAGTACTAATACCATTTGCCCACAAGACCCAAATAGGACATTGAGGCATTTCCTAGTACACAAACTGCTCCTCGGTTCATACCGTTAACAAACATCACAGTCAACAAGATGTAGCTGAGTTTAAAACAACGAAAATAACATAAATCGTAAACTAACCGAGCAGACCCTTGAATAAAAGGGGGGCAAGAGAAAAAACAAACAAACTATGCAATCGAGTAGGGAGGGGGGCAGGGGGGCGGGGGCGTACCTCGCGGCCGGAGGAGGACAGCGCGGCGGAGGCGGAGGAGGCCCTGTCGCCGTCCTCGACCCCGTCGCCGGGCGCCGAGCCGCCGCCGGAGACCGGGATGAGGAGCTCCCGGTCCCGGTCCCGGTCGCGCCCGCCCATCGGGCTCAGGCTCAGCGGAGACTTGTTGTCTCCCATGGGGCTCGTCTGCCGCGGCGGCTGTCAGCCGCCGGTCGCCCTTGCCAGCTCGGGTCGTCGCGATCGCTGCTGCGGGGAGGGGATGCCGGCTCGGCACGGCCGCTGGGGCAAGAGACTTTTTCTATTTTTCGTTTTTTTTTTCTGGAGCCTTTTGAGAGTTTGCCCTCTTCTGCTGTCCCGTCCCGTGGGCACCTGTCGAGTCGCTCTTCCTCGCCCACTGCCCCGCCGTGGGATGGAGGCGTGGGGCCCACATGTACGAGCGAGACGAAGCGACAGTAATAAGGTGGGTACGATCATGGTGATCGCTTGATTAATCAGGTCAGGTGAAGCAGAGTTTGATTTGATAGATAGCAAACAGTTAGCTCCACCAAATAAACAAATTAACAAAAAGCTGCTGAAGACTCCAGCAAGTGCCCGTTTAGCTATCAAAATTTTACAAAATTTTTCAAGATTTTTCGTCACATCGAATCTTTAGACGCATGCATGAAGCATTAAATATAAATAAAAAATAAAACTAATTACACAGTTTAGACGAAATTCACGAGACGAATCTTTTAAGTCTAATTAGATTATGATTGGACACTAATTGCCAAATAACAACGAAAATACTACAGTACTATTTCTCAAAAAATTTCGCCAACTAAACGATGCCCAAAATTCCCAAAATAGGTAGTAGCACCAAACTGATTTGAACACCGCACAACCAACGTTGTGTAGGGAGTCTCCATCCGTCTTGTTGGAGAGAATCGTTAGTCCAAATTTGCAAGAAACTATGAAAATGGCATTCCTCAAAATTCATGTCAACATTTCTTTACTTCGAAACAAGCCTAAATAGTACAGCCAGCATAGCACTGACATGAGTATGTTCGGTTGGCTGGTTCGTTTCGCTGCTGGTTCGTGAAGAAGTACTGCTGACTGGTTTGTGTGAGAAAAAAATACTAATCCGGCTGAAAATTTACGATCGTTTACGACAAGCTAGCCAAACGAACAGGCTCTCGTCATCTCATGCTTGACATGACGTGACTTTCCCCTGTGGAAAATTCCCGGTCAACCAAAGCCGGAAAGGAGGTAATCCATGGCGGGCTGCAGTGCGCCAAGGGAGTTGCCCCTTGCAAGATTAGTCCAAGCAACGGAACCATTTGCAACGTGCAAGTTCAAAGCTTAGAAACTCCCAGGACAAAGAAAATACGTGGAACCAGGCACAACATATGAACACATATCAAGAATGTTATTGGAATACGGAGTAATATATAGAGTCTAGCAGGCACATTGAAATTCTTCAAGTTGGAATAGTATATATAGAGTCTAGCAGGCACATTGAAATTCTTCAAGCAAGGTGGAGAGAGGAGCTTCAATTTATTTCTCACTACCAGGGAAGTAAAAATTACAAGGTTTGCACAAGTACACGGTGTGTACTTCATACATAGCGACAGCGTCAATGGTTGGACAGGAACGTACAAATACAGAATGTGAAGGTTCCTCCATGCTTCCACAGAAACCCTGCAGAAAAGAAAAGAATGGCTGGTTCAGAAACTCGAACAGAGTTGGTTTGTAAGTTTGTAGCTATTCAAACAGGCCAGACAGGGAGATTACAGCTGCTTATTTCATCACAAATCAGGAAAATATATGGTTAATCAATATATCCAGGCGGGGAAGCTCTCCCCTCCGTAGTTCACGTAAAAAAAACACAAATCAGGAAAATATGAACAAAGTAACATCTTAGAAAAGCACAGCATACACATATCAGATGCCAGGAGGTAATTCCAGTTCCTGCAGCACTTTTTGTTCCAACATGACTTGTGAATCTAAATAAGTGATGATTAAAAGGTCACAAATGCATACAAGGAAGTGGATTCTCAATCGTACAATGATGCTATGTAAGATAATCAATGTATTGAGGCCAACTGCAAACTAAGTTATAGGAGAATGATCTGGAGGGGATTTTTGGTACCAAATAAACAAGTTAACCATCTGTGATGTGAGCGGTAAACCCATGAAGATGATTTTGGTGGTACCATGAAACGATTCTGAGTGATGGTATTTGGGCACCATACTGTGCTGAAAATGGAGACCTCAAGGTCCAGTCAGACTGCTTAAACGACACCCTATACACTACGGCACCAGTCTTATAGTCTCAGTAAGCATGAGACCTGGCCTTTGGCCTAAGACCAGGTCTTACACAATAGAAAATTGCAACAAAGTAAGCTGACACAGTTAGAGAGAGCGTGGGAGGACTGTAATCCTTGCTGATGCCTGCCATGTATGAGAAAGAAAAGAAGTTAGGACTTATGTTTATTTTAACTGATATATATGTGGGTCCCGTCTTATAGTCCATCTAGACCTTATACATAACAACAAATTGATCTTAGACACATCACCCCTTCTTAAGGTCTATGGTGACCTTATACACTACCGATACCCTATTGTGTACGAGCTCTAGGTCTAGGTTGGTGGCATAGATGTGAATTTCCTAAAGATCGATAAATTAGATACTGCAAGTATGAAAGGCTTGGTATCGTGTTGATGGAACTGGGTCATAAGATAAATTCATATGCTAAACTACTCAATAGACAAACTTCTAAGTGTAAACAAATTGGAAATTGTAGCTAAGACCACGATTACAGGGCAAGAACGATATGCCTGCTGTCTTTCTTTTGAATTTTTTTTATTATCAAAACAGTAGTTAGTACTAGCTATACCCACCTTCAATTGAACTTAATAGCTGTTTATTTGAATTGGCCATTGGATTAACTTTGTATAAAACCACAAACAGAGTTAGCTGATTCACATCAGATGGACTAGCAAGTAGCAACATCTAGCTCCAGATGAATCCCAATAAAATTGCTTCTCTCAAAGACCAGAGCTATACTCAAATCAGATAGATTTTTTATCTGAAGTATGGTGAAACTAAAATACTGAATAGGTCAGGTCCATCATAAATGCACAATTACATAATTAACCAAACCAGCAGAAATAAACTTAATTATTTTCAAGAAATGCATAATCAAAAGTGAGAACATCTACACAGTGATGCAAATTACAGATTTGCAGGTCACCTTCAAATCAAATTCACAATAGAGAACATGGGCATCTTCATGAAGGTCTGATGGACCAATAATTCACAATCATGATAAAAAATTATGATTGTATCATGATTGGCAAGCATGATATTCAAAATACTAATAAGTTAGCTATACACCTATACTACTTGCTCTTTAGGTTATTATATCACAGTAGTAGTTATCCAAACTTGTGGGTCTTTCTTGAGGAATTGTTCTACTAAGAAAACAACCAAGAGTCCAGAATAGCAAAAAAAAAAAAAAAATGATAGATGACAGTGGGTCAAAGCCTTGTTAGACTCATGCTCCCAGCTTGAACTAAATCCTCATAAAATCAGTTGCATATAAAAACAATAAAAAGATCTCATGGAATCAAATAGAAGCACAAACAATTTGAAAACTGTAGCAAGTACCATGACAGGGAGATGGAGAAGGAAAGGCCAAATCCCCATATTTCAGTTATTTACTGCTGTTATTACTAAAACAATAGCCCTGAACCCTTAGATTGTTGGATTTATTCTTCTCTAAGGTTACATTCAGTTATTAATGTCCTCGCAGCGTAGTATGTAATTATTCAATCTATTTCACCTCTAGCTCTGCCACTGTTTTCGCATGTCTAAATTTGGTTAATTTGGAAAAAAAAAGGCGTAGCAGAGAGCTCTCGCTCTGTACGGGGCCTAGGGAAGGGTGTCAGTGGCAAGCCTTAAAAGTTCCCAAAATCCACTAACCTTGGATAAAGATGAACCTCGGATCACAATTGCAGCTGAAACTAAGCATATTCTTACTGCAAGCCAACAACATCGGGCAAATTATTTGATGCTGATTTGATATGGGATTCTGGGTACAGCACAGTCAAACTATCGGTAAAACCAGCAAAGATGAAACCGTATGTTTTCTCATCAGCAAGAGAAGCACTCCAAGGAGACAGCATCTGCACGATTGCGGGAAGACTGACCTCTCTCGAATCACGACATCAGAGCTTGGAAGCGAAGTGCTTCCGCTTCTCCTCATCGCTCTCCTCGACAATTCCGACTGACCTGCAGGCCTCAGGGTACATGGACATCCTTATGGATGCGTACACGCCCCCATCCCACTTCCTGGCCGCGAGCTGCTCGGCAAGCTTGAAGGCCTCGACCGCCGTCTCGTCCGCAGAAGGGTAGACGGCATCCACGATGCCCATCTCCTTGCCCTCGGCGGCCCTGACCTTCTTGCCCCTGAGCGCGACGTCGCGGAGCGCGTTGGCGGCGGTGATCTTGGCGCGGAGCACGGCCATGAAGTAGGGCGGGAGCGGGAGGCCGATGTCGACCTCGCTCATGTAGAGCACCCCGCGGTCGCCGCGCATGACGCGGTAGTCGTGGCAGAGCGCGAGGAGGCACCCGCCGGCGGAGGCGTGGCCGGTGACGGCGGCGACGGTGGGCATGGGGAGCGCGAGCAGGTCGGCGGCGAGCGGGCGGAGCGCGGCGACGAGCTCGCTGAGGCGCGCGCGGGAGGTGCCCGCCCACCCGATGTCGAGCCCGTTGGAGAAGAAGCGGCCCTCGCCGACGGTGACGAGCGCGGCCCCGGGCCCCGCCTTGGCCGCGGCTTCCGCGGCGGAGGCGACGGCGGAGCGGAGCGAGGAGATGAGGGCGTGGCCCAGCCGGTGCTCGCCGTCGCCGGTGAGGGTGAGGACGAAGACGCTGCCGCGCTGCTGCAGGGTGCACATCGTGCCGGCGGGGCGGATGGGGGCGGCTCTCGCGGTAGGTGCGGAGCGTGGAAGGCGTGTGTGGCCTTCGGCTCTTCGCTCTACAGCAGCAGAGCAGGCGATGAAGGAGCGCTCGATTTTTGTTTTGGCCGGCCGAATCGATGAAGTCGCAACTCGCAACTCACAAGCCAGCCAGATTGGTCGTAGTGGGACGTACGCTCCAAGACGCGAGATTATTCAATTTGATACGGATTGGGGCT